CAAGATGGGAAGTATGTGCAGCACGAATGGATTCCAAATTATAATAACATGTTTCGCGCTGAAACTTACAGAAATGACGACGGGTCGACGCTTCAAGGTTATGTTTTCCAGCGGAAAGTGCATGGGAATCTTGCCACCTGACGGGGGACAGCATTCCTTCTTACACACACCGCAAGCCGACACGTTGTGGCCATAAACTGAAAACTGACAGCCTACTGTCGTTTCTTGACACCTGCCAACTGTTCATGCCCCCATATTGTAACCACATATCCCAAAGTGCCAACCTACTGAGGCTTCTTGACACCTGCCAACTGTTCATGTCCCCATATTGTAACCACATGTCCCAAAGTGCCAAACTACTGAGGCTTCTTGACACCTGCCAACTGTTCATGTCCTCATATTGTAACCACACATCCCAAAGTGCCAACCTACTGCGGCTTCTTGACACCTGCCAACTGTTCGTGTCCCCATATTGTAACCACATATCCCAAAGTGCCAACCTCCTGAGGCTTCTTGACACCTGTCAACTGTTCGTGTTTCCATATTGTAACCACATATCCCAAAGTGCCAACCTCCTGAGGCTTCTTGACACCTGTCAACTGTTCGTGTTTCCATATTGTAACCACATATCCCAAAGTGCCAACCTCCTGAGGCTTCTTGACACCTGTCAACTGTTCGTGTTTCCATATTGTAACCACATATCCCAAAGTGCCAACCTCCTGAGGCTTCTTGACACCTGTCAACTGTTCGTGTTTCCATATTGTAACCACATATCCCAAAGTGCCAACCTCCTGAGGCTTCTTGACACCTGTCAACTGTTCGTGTTTCCATATTGTAACCACATATCCCAAAGTGCCAACCTCCTGAGGCTTCTTGACACCTGTCAACTGTTCGTGTTTCCATATTGTAACCACATATCCCAAAGTGCCAACCTCCTGAGGCTTCTTGACACCTGTCAACTGTTCGTGTTTCCATATTGTAACCACATATCCCAAAGTGCCAACCTCCTGAGGCTTCTTGACACCTGTCAACTGTTCGTGTTTCCATATTGTAACCACATATCCCAAAGTGCCAACCTCCTGAGGCTTCTTGACACCTGTCAACTGTTCGTGTTTCCATATTGTAACCACATATCCCAAAGTGCCAACCTCCTGAGGCTTCTTGACACCTGTCAACTGTTCGTGTTTCCATATTGTAACCACATATCCCAAAGTGCCAACCTCCTGAGGCTTCTTGACACCTGTCAACTGTTCGTGTTTCCATATTGTAACCACATATCCCAAAGTGCCAACCTCCTGAGGCTTCTTGACACCTGTCAACTGTTCGTGTTTCCATATTGTAACCACATATCCCAAAGTGCCAACCTCCTGAGGCTTCTTGACACCTGTCAACTGTTCGTGTTTCCATATTGTAACCACATATCCCAAAGTGCCAACCTCCTGAGGCTTCTTGACACCTGTCAACTGTTCGTGTTTCCATATTGTAACCACATATCCCAAAGTGCCAACCTCCTGAGGCTTCTTGACACCTGTCAACTGTTCGTGTTTCCATATTGTAACCACATATCCCAAAGTGCCAACCTCCTGAGGCTTCTTGACACCTGTCAACTGTTCGTGTTTCCATATTGTAACCACATATCCCAAAGTGCCAACCTCCTGAGGCTTCTTGACACCTGTCAACTGTTCGTGTTTCCATATTGTAACCACATATCCCAAAGTGCCAACCTCCTGAGGCTTCTTGACACCTGTCAACTGTTCGTGTTTCCATATTGTAACCACATATCCCAAAGTGCCAACCTCCTGAGGCTTCTTGACACCTGTCAACTGTTCGTGTTTCCATATTGTAACCACATATCCCAAAGTGCCAATCTACTGAGGCTTCTTGACACTTGCCAACTGTTCATGTCCCCATATTGTAACCACATATCCCAAAGTGCCAATCTACTGAGGCTTCTTGACACTTGCCAACTGTTCATGTCCCCATATTGTAACCACATGTCCCAAAGTGCCAACCTACTGACATTTCTTGACACCTGCCAACTGCTCATGTCCCCACACTGTGAACTTACTGTCAAGGTGTCGACACTGTGGCCTGGAGACACATTAATATTCTGTTGTTGAGTAATCGCTCGTCTTGCGCCCTCTGCTGTGGCGAAGAGACAGGATCGCTTCGTATGGAAAAGCCGAAAGATAGCTGGCGCTTGGTATTCATGGCTTGGGAATTGTGAAGCCTCACCGCGACGGGCTTCATTCAGGGACAGTCCCTGCCACGTGAAAAGAGCGAGGCCGCTACGGTCACCACCAGCACGTCGTACTGGCGTGCTGCAGTGTGAGGGTCCCGACTGTACCGGGGGTGCGCGGAGACGGAAGACGCTTACAGCAATCTGCATACAGAGATGAGACAAGACAGCGCTCGCATCTCTTTAAACTTGTTCCAGAAGCAAGCGGGAAAGTTCATTTGATGCTCTCTACGAGTGGGCGTACGCACGACCGGTTCTGACCAATCGCATTCATGCACAGGTTTGTTTGTGAACAGGGTGACCCGACACAAACTTTCGCACACGGTGAGACATAACAAAGCCGCTCATCTTCTGACCAGCGGCTGAAATTCGTGTACAGAGCGATCCGACGTGCGTGTTCCAAACTGACAACACGGTGTTCCACAAAGTGTTGGCTTCTTGACATGATCTGACCAACTGTGTTGCAGCGTGTGACGCCCTAGCGCCGGCCACAAACTAAGCATTTGCAGGAGCTCTTCTCTCGCACACACACAAAACTTTTTTTTTAAAGTCTTCTTTGCGAAGAAACTTTTACGCAAAGCTTTGAAGGCAGCAAACAGTTCTGATGGGTTTCTGAAGGCAGGGGCACCCTCAAAGGCTTGTTCGATATTCTGCAATGAGGCAATGTTTATGTATTAAGCGAGAAAAAAATACGCAGCAGGGGACTGTGAGGTAGCAGTGGGGAACTGTGACCTCAAATCCGGACGTAACAAGGGATTCGCGTGCGTGAGAGAACAATTAGCTTGCGTGCCGCCTCCCCTCCCCCTCATGCTTCCTGTACAACAGCCCTCATAAAAATTTAGTGGCCTGTTAAGTTGTTTCATACACGATTACCGCGCCCGCCAACAGATGGCAGAACCGGGAAGAGAGAGACTGGTGCGCCCTCTGCAGGTGTCGCGTCCACAGGAAGTGTCAGGCAGCTGTGATCCGCGAACTGGCGCGCGATTTATTATTTAATTTTAACAATCCAATTGTGTGTTAGGTGCTGGAAGATTCGAAAATAATAACAAAACGAAAGCGAATTGCTTCATGTGTCAACTCAGTCAGGCACAGGCCCACTGCAGGATCGCGCAGTGCGGAGACTTGGGCTCCAAGCGGTGCTGTGGGCACGCAACTGAGTGATAAGGGGCATGACGGACCGGGGACCGCGGCCCACAGGGTGACAACATTACGTAACTCTGTCGTAGAGGGCCCCGAAGGTTCACATCGCATTGCGACTACTGCTTACACCAACTCCATGTAGCAGACGTTTTCTGAGGCTAAATTTTGCTTCATCCACCGCCGTTTACGGAACCCCATGGTCCATTACGGTGTCCGCAAAAACCGGCCAACTGGTCTTCAACCTCACGATCAATTAAACTGCACTCACATTGCAAGTGTACAGAGAACAAACGCGCCCAGAAGTTCTGATGCAGTCTTAACACTTTAAAGACTGAAATTCATCTAAATTCAGTTCCTGCCTCAAAGAAAATACATTACGGTTAATGCTGTTTAGGGAAACAGTCGCTGTTTACCGTGAGAACCATACGGAACACACAGATACACTCTGTGGGCAGAATGCAGTATATATGAGTATAAGAATTCGGTCCGTACCTCACAGGGAACATTACGTCTCCGCTACAAAGCCCAACCGGTTAATGCTATTTAGGGAAACAGTTGCTGTTTATTGTGAGAACCATACGGAACACACAGATACACTCTCTGGGCAGAATGCAGTATATATAAGAATTTAGTGCGTACCTCACAGGAAACATTACGTCTCCGCTACAAAGCCCAACCGGTTAATGCTATTTAGGGAAACAGTTGCTGTTTATTGTGAGAACCATACGGAACACACAGACACTCTGTGGGCAGAATGCAGAGTTTTAGTACGTTAAAGCAGGTAGTACATACGTGTACAGTGACAAATGGGCTTTAAAGGGTTAATGTTATCGCAGGCTGGATTAAAATACCGTGAGGCCGGGTGGGACAAATATAGCTTTGCTACGATGCCAGTGCTGACTGGGCCTGCCCTGAGCAGAATTCTGCGCACCCCATCTTGCGCTTTAACTTCTTCCAGTAAGCATAAGCTTCAGACAGAGTCGCCACATGTGTATCTGAGGTAGCTCAGCGAGTTAAGTGACTGACTTCTGGCTCCACAGTCCGAATTCTATTCCCGATACATGCATCCCTCAACCATGTCCAGACCGTATGCGCTTCCGGGGACCACCGAACCTAATTTAGTGGGTATCGCAGATATAACGGCTGAAGCGGGAAGCTGACTACGTTACGTCTAGACCCCCTGAGCGCCCGCATGCCGAGGTTCTGCAGTTCCCATAGCTCGGCCCGCTGAAAACAAACACCTCTGCATACGGCATGTATGATTTCGGGTTCTCACTGCAATGACGATTCATACTGTCCTGTACCAACACACCGTCTCCTTCTTCAGAGCAGAAGCCGGGGGGGCATGCCAAGGCTGCAACCTGGCTTGTGGCCCTCCACTATACCGTACGGTAGCCAACTACATAACTTCCCAATTTGAGTCAGCGGTATCTGGCGTGTACTGCGATGCAGACACGATATCCCACGCGAAGAATAGGAGCTTTACATAACAGCCTCACGGAAATGCTTGTGTTGTTTCGTCACATCAGCGGACTGGAACGAGTTTCTCTCTCCCCGGACGAAATGTCATCTTCCAAACGCGAGACTGTCAGTGGAGCTCTGGCGACTGAGGAGAACCACGTTTGTTACAAAACAGCAAGGCCACGCCGCGCGTATAAAAGCGACGGTCGCGGAGTGCCGCGCGGCTTCTCAGCATCATGATAGCCTTCGTGGTGCTGTCCCTGAGCTTGGCAGCGGCGTCCGGCGCGGTGAGTACCTGCCGCAGGCCTTTTTTTACGTGTACGTCACACCCATACTGCATCGAATGGTAGGCCGTGATGTGACCCGGTACTTGTCTGGGTGGACTGAGGAAAACCGTGAGTCAGGGTAGTCGCTACAGCTTGCGCCAGTTTTGTCGGTAACACAGACACACAGTGTGTTTAAGTAAACAGCGGCTGTTCTTTGCAAACAGAAAGCAAGTCCTGTTGTGAAGGTCACAGGTCACGTCTTTCCGTCTGTCTCTCATCTAGAATGAACGCTTAAATTCAATATGCGAGAGTGCTTTAGTAAAACCTGGCGGGAAGTTGCGATTTGGTTTGAAATCGGACAACAATACCGGACACTTCACATGAAGACCGGCCCGAATTTCTGCGCGCGCATCTCCAGCGCAATTCACTAACCACCGGAGAGAAAGAAAAGTGTCCCGAACTAGAGTTGTACCCCGTCCAACACACTCTTTCCGTAAGTCTGGAGGTGTTCGGGACAGTTGAACAAAAGCTATTCTCATGCCGTGTCGTCTCACAACTAGAGGACACGGAGCTGTGTACCACAGGTCGAAACTCACGTCTGTCCGTCTGTTTTATTTTTATTTCTGACGAGCGTGACCTCCACCAGGAGCTGCCAAGCCATTGCCATTTCGGCCATGTTAATCTACAGTCCTGCCCCCCCCCTCACTTTACCAGCAGCCCGCAATACAAATAAACGCCGCTCCCCGAACGGCTTCAACCGATTGGTCTGTGTTTTCTGTGAGGTAGGAACTGAATCTATAGATATTATTTTGATGACCTTCAGGCTTCGAAGGGTTAACCAGCTGTTACATTGCGTGTGGAGGTCATGAAACGGCATTCACTGCTGCAAATGTAAATGCATGTCTCTCTCTTCGTGGGTCACTTTACGAAACTTGACTATAAGGAGACGAAAAGTTATTATTATTATTATTATTTATTATTTCTTCTTAGTGGAGTGAGACTGAGTCCACTTGGTACTGCAGCCACTTCTGGCCTACTGTACCAGCCCCAGATGAGAGATAATAGTGATTGTGGAGCAATTGGTGGAATGAAGATTCGGGGGAAACCGAAGTACTCGGAGAAAAGCTGCCCCAGCGTCACTTTCTCCACCACAAATCCCACATGACCTGAAACGCGTTCGAACCAGGGCCGCGCACTGGGAAACCAGCGACTAACGGTTGAGCTATGGCGCGGCCAGACGAACAGTAATATAATAAATTAATACGAAAGGATTTGGAAGGAAGTGGTCGTGGCCTAACAGAGGTACTAGCCCAGCATTTGCCTGCAGGGATCGAGGAATAGCATGGAGAACCCCGGTCAGAATGGTTCGCCTGCATCGCTCAGAGAGCATGAACCGGGCTGTGAAGTCCGAAACAAATGTGTGAAATTCGATGCGTTGTATTCTCTCGTTGCGAGCTCTGTTCCCGTCGGACGCTTCGCAGTGCAGTCTGTCGGCTCGAAACACGCCACTGTTCCACATACCCTCTGTTCCCCGAGCAGCTACACGGCTGAGGTTTCTCACGGTTTCGTCAGCCCGAATTCTGTACATGTGACAGGCTCAGGACGCGGCTGGAATACTGGGCTCCCTCGGGAACACCCTCAAGCTGCTGTCGGCCGAGTCAGTCAACACTGCTCGCGCAGCGGCCGTCCCTATGCTGCAAGCGGCGAACCAAACGACCCTGGATGCTCGCTCAATCCTGCAGGACCTAGCGGGCGACGTGGCGCTGAACGTCGTGAGGGCCAGAGCGTCTGGCTGGGATGCAGCTCACTGTGCGCAAGGTAGGTCGACCAGGTGCACACAGACTCCCCTGGCGACGAAGCCAGGACCCTGCACTCATGTCGCCATACTGTCTCCTGCACAGGCAAAGAGAAGCAGGCAGAACGGCTGCTCCAGGAGGCGCTGTCCAAGCTGGACGGGTGCACAGCTCTGGCCGCGGCCGAAGCGGAGGCTCCCGTCGTCGTCATCGACAACTTGACCCAGGAAGCAGCGCTACGCATCGACAGGGCGGCGGCCGATGTGGCGGCCTGCTTGGCGGGGACAGGAACCATCATGTGTGTGTTTGATGTGGTACGTCACGATTTGCACGTTTGGTGAATGATGGTCGAGTCACGATTTGCACGTTTGGTGAGTGATGGTCGAGTCACAATTTGCACGTTTGGTGAGTGATGGTCGAGTCACGATTTGCACGTTTGGTGAGTGATGGTCAAGTCAATTTGTAAATGGGGTGAGCTAAACGTATGGTTCCTGTTTGCAGGTGCGCAATGTGACGCGAGATGTGGGCGCCATGGCGCGCATCATTAGGAAGCAGGCGCTTGGCGCAGAGGAGAGCGTGGCGCACATTGAGCGCTACGTGACAACATGCGCTACTGGGCAGGTGCAGAGCGCGCGCACATTGCTGCAGCAGCTGAATATCGCAGGGTGCGCACAATAAAGCACAGTGCTGTAGTCTTGTGTTAGAATTGTAAGTAGCTGGACGTACATTAAATTCATAGCTCTATCAACTGGTGCTGTCTGTCCGCCCTCTCCTTCTCCTCCCGAAGGTGCAGACCAGGCACGTCCTGCTCGTCGAGAATCAAGCCCGTGCTCCTTGCTACAAGGGCTTTAATTACCGCGACAAAACGACGGTCCAGTGACCGGCCGAACAGGCTACTGTCTGCTACATGTGCGTCGGGCCACGGAGGATACGCGGAATGGCACTGACAGCGAATATTGTTGAAGCATGTCAAACAACTATTTGTCCTGACGTGACCCTGTGCCGGAGTCCAGACGGTCAACCCAACATCTCCTGTCCGTCGCGCAAGCATTCACTGGCCTCCAGTCGTCACGTCACCTCTCTTCAGACTATGTAACGAGTCGTGCAGGAATTCGCGGGCTATCCGCTTCAACAGCTCCATCCACATGTAACAATTCGAAAGAGGTTGAATCAAAGTTTCATGAAATTTGATACTTGAGAGTTTCACCATTTTTTTCCTCGAAACGCGCAAATCTGGGTAGTAAAATCAGACAATGACAAACATCCTGCGTTTCTGCATCCACCTTGGGCAGAACTCGCTAAACATTTATCGGATCGAAAAATGTTTCGAACAAAAGTCACAGAACTAAAACACGTAAGTTTACATAACACGCCATCTTCCCGTAAGTCTCATGGTCTCCGGATAAATAAATAAACGTGAGAGAACGGACAGAGTTGTACATCGCGCTAACAGTGTCTACGCCTCACTATAATATCCTAGCACCGGACTGCGTAACTTCACTTCACACAGGCAGAATGAAACCGACAGCCGACACCCGCGATCCTCCGCGGAGCGTTATAAACCAGTTTATCTTGCGTCCGGCCAACGATTAACTCCAGGAAGCCAACAATTAAACATCTCGGGGGCCATTGTATGTAAATGTCCGCGACTCGAGACCCGACGGATACCTGCAGTGAGGAGCGGAAGTATGCCCGTTGAAATTAACGTCACATGGACTGTGCCCAAACGGCATGAAATCTGAACCGTTGTGGCCACTCATAGTGAGCGAACCACCAATATGAGAATCAAACAGTGTGCCGCGACAATTCGCGTTCACAAATGTGTGGGTCCTGCCTTAAATGGTTTCTGTACAGACCTCCCGCTGCATATAGCTTTTGCTTATACAGAATGGGCCACTATTGTAACACGTTGCCAGGTAACGGCTCTGTAAACACGGTCCAACGCACAATAGCGGAAGCTGTGTTTTCTGTACATCCGACCGATGCGCCAATAGACTGGCTGGATAGCGATCACGTGTAGGTGCATGTACGTTCCGCGGCTATATAAGTGAGGGTGACAAAATTCGTTCAAGGCAGTTGCGAGTGAGCAGTAGCGGCAGAAGCACGTGAACAAGCAAGCAGTAAGCTCGAGGAGGGCAGAAGAGTACAAGAAGTCAGCCCGTGACGATTTAGCGTGAGATTTGAAGGCTTTATGTGTGCTGTAGTGCAGTGATATTGGGAGTGTGTGATTCAGTGAGGCTTTACAGTTCCTGTGTTATATACCCATTGACAGGAAACGGATGGTGAAGACTAATGGAAATCGAATGAGAAGATTAGTGTGGAGTGATTGTAAACTGCAGTAATAGTGTAATAATTATTAGTAGTTACGACCTGCAGGTTGTTAATAAACCCAATTACCAGTCCGAACCCGTCTTTAGTCACTGATACACGTGACACTTCTGAGGTCAGGGAATAATGCAAGGTGGAATATAAAGAAGTAATGTGTAATTGCAATCGGAAAAACGAAAGGCAAAAGATCACTTGGAACACCAAGAGCTAGGGGCAAATTATCGCTATATTAAAACGAGCGCTGTAAGCGTGTTGACTAGATTCATCTGGCCCAGGATGAAGTTCAGTGACGGCAATGAACTCGGGTTCTTCCTGACCAGCTAAGCGAATGCAATCTTCTCAGAAGGGGCCGCTCCAGGCGCATGTGGCAACTGCAACATGGGTACGGTTTGTGGGCCCCAGTTTTGGGGTTCTGCCATGCGATGACCACACACTGTTTACGAGAAGTCACATTAGTCACATATCACATTAGTTGCGATAAGTTGCAAAACGCTGTTCACTTCTGCGGTAAATTTGTATGTCGCCCATACTCAACAGGAAGTAACGCATCGAAACAACAAAGAGCTCGTCTTGTTCTTATTCACTCAACTCCAAGTCCAAGTCACATTGCGACTGACGGTCAGTCAGTCAGTAAGTCTTGGTGTCGAGCCCTTTCTGGGGCTCATGACCAGATATTTATTACTGTTGAACGTTGCGGTTTTTTTTGTGGGGCGCCCTCTCTGACGAGAGGACGGGTCTGTCTCTTTACATGCTACTGGTCCTTGCCAGCGCAGTCTTTCTCGAGTCCGAGTCCGTTGGGACCTGTCTTCGCTCAACTCATCTACTAGTCCTCGTTATATAGTCCCGGCACGGACCACTCAGAAAACGTATCTGCCATTATTGCGTGTTCTCTCGTTGCCGGGAATAATGCGTCCATAGACATGTTTCCTAGCAACGGCTGTTGTACTGTTACCTGTTTAAACGGCTGTTACTTGGCAGTGGGTATACACGTCACAGTCTGCATCAGCAGTAGATTTGTTACTTAGATCCCCAACAATCCCAAATAAACTCAGATGACACAAATGTGGAACTGTGTTCTTTATCTGATGGATACATAAAAACGATATATTGATACACACAACAGGAGGCAATCCCTGGAGGTCCAGTAATTTCGACTAATGATGAATTTCTCCTCAGAAAAGGATATTGGATACAATTTTGTATGAAGTTGATAGCAGTGATATCCCCCGATAATCACTACAGTCTGTTCTATCGCCCTTCTTGTGAACTGGTGCAGTAATAGACTCCTTCCACTGATTAGGCAATTCTTCCTAACGCCAAATACAAGTAATTAGATTGTGGATCTTATAACTTAATATTCCGCCCCTTGCTTGAATAAGTTCTGCCGGAAATTGATCACTACCTGGCGATTTATACCGTTTCAATTTTGCAACAGCACTTTCAACCTCAAAAGGGCTAGGATCAGGTACTAATGCCTCAGCTGTATGTGTTTCTATCTGCCTAACATCACTGACCTCATGTACATTCAATAACTGAGAGGAGTAGCTCTTCCACCTGTTTAAAACGTTGTGGGAATCTGCAAGCACGTTACTTATAGGTTGGCAGCCCTTACATTCACCTGTTCCTCGTCCTTACTGTGTGCTGCAAGCTATTGCCTTGGGCCGCGCCATAGCTCAAGCGGTTAGTCACTGGCTTCCCACCGCGGCGGCCCGGGTCTGGTCAAGTGGGATTTGTGGTGCACAAAGTGGCGCTGGGGCAGGTTTTCTCCGAGTACTTCGGTTTCCCCTGCCACTCTTCATTCCACCAATTGCTCCACAATCACCCTCACCTATCACCTGGGGCTGGTACAATAGGCCAGAAGTGGCCGCACTACAAGGGACTTAGTCCCACCCCACTAGCAATAAAAGAAAAGCTATTAACTTTGTCTTTCTCCTGGAACTATATACCAACAAATCGAAATTAGATTCACGAGGAACTTGAGAGCAGATACAGTTTGGAAATGTTTCACGTGCAGCTTTGTATGGGTGTGAAACTTGGTCTCTCAAATTACGAGAACAGACGGACACAGAGTGCTGAGGGGAGTACTGTGACCGCCCCACGCGTTTGGCGGCACTTACTCTCTTTTGTGACCGCTCTCTCTGTATAGTGCCCTTTACGTTGGGTGTCACCTTCTTGTTGTCGCCGTCCCCCTTTACCTTCCTGTTCCTTCACCTGGCTTCCGCCTGCAGCGGCTGTTGCTGATGCTCTTTGCCAAAGGAACACAGGTGAGTTTTCTTACCTCAGAAGGTAGAGATGAGACTGTCTCAGGATCTTTTGTACGGGCCTCGCTCAGACAGGGAGGCAGAAGCATCTAATGATACACTTGCACTTTGCATGTGAGTAT